TTCCCATGTGGGCACCCTCTCCCCCTTTATTTAATCCATCGGGTGGGGATTGCAGGTACTAAGCCTGGTTTATGCCGTCCCTTGGACTCTGAGCCCTTCCATTAAGAACAATGGCAAACTGAAAATTGATCACTTGGAGTAGAGAGACGGCCTTGGGCCCATCCCCCCTTGGATGGATTGAAATGGAATTCCCTGGTATGTCCCACCTCTCCAAATTGGGGCAAAGCCAGCCCGAGCATGTCCCAAATTATACATCTCTTCCCTCTCGGTTCCCACTCCTTATGTTTAACAGGGATCACATTTGGGTTAATTTTCAACACTTAAAAATAACTGTGTGATAATTACAGAATTAACCGAGTCATATTAAGTAGAACAGACAAAAAAAAAATACTATGAGGGAGAATGTATTAAGTTGTCCATTAGCAGTCAGAGCTATGCTGATCAAGTCACCATTTCTCATAGTGTCCATTTCACTTCAGGAGGTTTCCTTTTTGGTGTTGAGTCAGTTGTCACCGATCAGGGAGAACATCTTAAAAACAGAATGGAATATTCTGATCTTACCCATCAAACCTCTGAAGCAAGGGGACCAGGAAGAGAAAAGAGCTGAAAGGCAAGGTTCATCTAAAAAGTGTTGTATTAACCATTACCAACTGCATAGTATAAAAATGTGGCTTTCTAAACATTTATTACTGGCTCAAAAAGTCAGTCTGATGAGGGAACAGGACTTTGCTGTCCCACTACAGCTTTCTTAGTCGTGACTATTTATCTATCAGATGCAAACTTTCAGGCACTCAGTTCATTTTGTTCCAATTAGTCTAGTCTGTGCCAGCTCCCCTTTCGGTCTTAGGAAAAGCAAGCTGATGGCTGGGCCTACCCTTGTTGACCTCAGCTCCACAATGCTAGATGGTTAGACTTGCTTGAAGTACTGGATTTGAGTAGCTGTCTCTTGCCTGTTGGTTGCGTGCAGCTCTCCTGCTGTTCTTGCTTTAGTTTTTTGCAAACTCTTGTAAGCCAGATGCATCACTCAAGTTACGAACTATGAACTTCCCCCAAAGCCCACACATATGCTTCATATTCTTTTTCAGAATGAACTAATCTCATGCCAAAGCTTTGAAGTCTGTTTCACTCAGCCAAACCTTCTTGGCAAGAGTCTGCTTGAATCCAGAGAGCATTCTACCAGTCAATCAACTGCCACAGAGCCTTGCCTGGGAGGAACAACAAGGTTGGGGAGTGGCCCCAGGTGTTTTCTGTAGATCTGGATCTC